CTATAAGGGACATTTCGAGCGTCATTGCGATTGTCAATCTTTCTGAGTTTAGGATGGCCGAAGACACTACACTACCCATAATCCCCAGCTATCGTTTAGGACTACAGTCCCCGTAAGGTTACGCAGAGCGTCAAACAGCTGTGTGAAATGGAACGAAACCACGCCAGACTATCCAAAACTGGAATCGAACACCCCCCCAGAACTACACATGCTGGATGCTGGCTATTGTGTTTCGCCAAATGTTCTATGGGACGTCTCTACTGAACGTTTTCGTTTTTCCCACAATTAGAAGTTGCCAGTATTAAACACATTGGCGTTATCAAATGTAAAACTATTATATATTATTTATTATAATTAATAAATGGGTAAAAATCGCTATATATACCCACATGACAGCTCATTGTTACTTTGTAATTCTACTCCACTACAATTCAGAGGTTAACCTGGTATTTTTACTCCACTGCATTTATTTGAGTTACTTTGCAGATTCTGATTAATTATGTGAAATATAAACAACCCTTAAATCAGACTTTAGTTACACCTGAGTAAAATTCAGGTAAGGTGATTGTCAAGTGCCAACAATCAGGAGAGATATTTGATAGTTGGTGCTTGAGAAGACTAAACATGTATCTGCAATTGACTGAATGGAAACGAGTAATTAAGTATATTCATTACTCGTTATTCTCTACTAATAGTTAATTAAAGACTGTATATTATGGCTATTTTGCACATCCCTTTCAAGATTTTCAAAGGTTTATTGACATATCATATACACAACTACGGTGTAGTTATGCAATGAATGAAACACTTGGGTCACAGGTTCCTCAACAGTGCATTACAAGACATCTATCAATATGTGTGTACCTCCACCATTAAACTGTTATATTCTGCACATTTCTTATTCTATCTACATACATACGAGTATAATTCATAAGTATAATATCAGTTAAAATAAGTGCTTCAACATAGTTAACATTACAGGAAAGCAATATATTAGACGTTAAGTACTTTGTCAGGCTTAATATTTATCTGTAGATAGATACCCCCAACGTTTTTTTCTTATTTAAAAGAAGACCTTAATCTGTTATTTAATGTTTAAATAAAGGTTAATTCGTTTTTCTGTTTTGCACCTCCTCCTATTAATATCTTTGTACATGCTGCACTAAACTGTTTTATTGTAGAGATCACTTTATAGTATCTTCTTGATTTTTTATATTCTATATTTCTATATTTATACTTTCCCCCTATGAAAGTATGTACTCTTAATATTTTTTTAATCAAACACAATAATTCAATAACGTGCTTTAAACACTAGATGCACACAAGGTACACAAATGTTTTCCGGATTTCATATCATATAAACACCAAATCCCAGCATGCATTGCGGCTAAAACATCCAATAAACGAGCTTAAAACCATAGCTGAGGATCTTGGGTAATGCCTATGTCCGGTTATTTTTATTTTGAAATTCAGTCCCTGACGGAGGCCAAAAAAGCCCGAGATTATGGAATTAAACCAATAAATAAAATCAAGCATAATTGTGTATTATTGGTGAGTAAATAACAGTGTGTTATTTTGAAAAGAATAACAAATTAGAAGGAAACAAATATTTAAAAAATACAGATTTCAGTATTCTGAGGCTCTGAGCCCCATTTCTTTTCCTCACAGACGGCAACAAAAGTCCGAAATTATACGATTTAAAATAAAAGCAATAATTGTGGCTTGATATAGAGTAAGAACATGTTTTTATGAACCACACAGCTTCAGGTCTTCCTCGACCCGACCGGAGAAAAATACGTGCTGCAAGCAGTAGAAATACATTGCTTTTAAAATCGTGCTGTGCAACACGAAAAAAAATCGTGCTGTGCAACACGAAAAAAAGGGGCAAATCGTGTTGGGGAACACGAATCAATAGATTAAAAATCGTGTTGGTGAACACGAAATGCCGTGAGACTGGGTTGTATGGCCAGGCTGTGAGCACTCAGTCTGTACTTTGTCAACATCTTCCTGTGTTTAACATCAGTCACTGTGGTCAGGTAGGGTGCCAGAGTGTACTGTCTTTTTAGGGCCAGATAGCATTGCATTTTACTTTGTGTTTGGGATTTAGTGTTCCAATAAGTGAGGTCGTTTTTTGTGTGTTTTGTTATAATTTGGTTAACTCTAATAGTTGTGGGCTCAGACTGGTCCTTTTGTTGTTCTGTTGTTTATGTCTTCTTGTGGAACCTACTGCTGCAGGTCTCCCTTGAAAAAGAGATCATTGATCTCAATGGGATTTTACCTGGATAAATAAAGGTTTTGAATTTAATTGAATTGAGCATAGACTGGTCCTGAGGCAGATCACAGTTTGAACCGGTTTGTGAACAGAGTGTCAGTACCAGCTGAGAGAGAGGTGACTCTTTTCCTTGTTCATCTCTTGATACTGCAGGGCTGTTGTGTGCCTAAATGTGCCTAATTCTGCTCTGCAGGCGTTGTTAGTTGTTCTCCTGTGAACCTGTAGGATGCGTTTGCAAAACTCATTGTGAGCATTTTCAATTGGATGATTTTCCCATTTGTCAAATGTTTGGTTTGTTTGTGGCCGCCACACTTCGCTTCCATATAGTAGGATGGGTTGTATTACCGATTTAAGTCATTTAAGCCAAATTAAAATTGAAATTTGAATGTAAATTTGTCTTTTTATTGCATAAAACGCCCTGCGTGCTTTCTCTCTCAGTTCCTTGACAGCTTGATTAAAACTTCCAGTAGAACTTATTTTCAGGCCTAAATAATTATATTCTGAGCAATTGTCTATTGTATGTGTCCCAATTGTAAAGTCAATATTGTTTGCCTGACATCTGGATCTTTTTTGAAATATCATTGTTTTTGTCTTTTTTATGTTAATTGCCATGGCCCAGGTCTGACAGTAACATTCGAGTATGTTCAAACTATGTTGAAGTCCTTCTTTTGTCGAGTTTAACAGGATTAAATAATCTGCATACAGCAGGAATTTGATCCCTGTTTTGTGAAGTGTGAGCCCAGATGCTGTGGACTGTTCTAAGATAGTGGCCAGTTCGTAGGGCCGGTGATAAACAGCATCCTTGTCTTTCTACCCGTTCTTGAGAAATAAAGGTTGTTCTTTTGTGTCCAATCTTGATGCTGCACATGTTGTTTGTGTACATAGATTTTATTAGGGCAAATGTTTTAACCCCCATACCGCTTTGAAGTAGTTTGTTGAATAGATAGACCAACATGCCAAATCGAGTCAAATGCTTTTTGGAAATCAATGAAACAGGCAAATATTTTGCTTTTATTTTTGATTAACATATTTGTCAACTAGGGTGTGTAAATGTGGTCTGATGTGCGGTGATTTGGTAAGAATCCAATTTGGCATTTGCTCAGGACATTGTGTTTTGTAAGGAAGTCTATAAGCCGGGAATTTATAATACTACAAAATACCTTCCCCAGGTTACTGTTCACACAAATGCCTCTGTAATTATTAGGGTCAGATTTATCGCCGTTTTAAAATATGGATGTTATGAGACCACGATTCCAGCTGTCAGGAAATTAACCTACAATCAGGATCAAATTGAATAGTTTGAGTATAGCCAATCTGATCTTTTTACTTGTGTGTTTTAGCATCTCGTTCAATATGCCGTCAAGCCCACTTGCTATTTTTGGTTTTAGGTTAATCAACTTTTTTTTCTCCAGTTCCTGTTCAGTAATTAGAAAGTCCAAAGGGTTCTGGGAGTCCTTGATGACCAATTCTCCAACGCAGAGACACAATTTGGCAGACTCACAATTTGGCAGACTCACTCACATCTGAGGTGCCCACTTTGTCCAGACAGAGCACAGAGGCTCCGTTGTCCCACCCCCCAAGGACACAGTGGCGGACTGTGCATCAGTAATAAGCTCAAACACAATGACAGGTTTCACAGACATAGAGCCAAAGCTTTGAGTCAACAGATGATACATTCCCCGTTTAATAAGTAAGCCTATAGCTCCCTCCCAACATAATGCACTCTGAGCAAGGAGCTCATTTAGTTCAGCTATAGTACATGATACACCAAAGTCACCACTGCAGGCCATTCATACCCTGAAATAGTAACCATTGTTGTACCAGAATATTTTAATACAGTCTCGATTGAATCTGAAATAGTTTTCAATATGACTAAGAACAAATCTAATTTGTTATGTCATTTAAACTGTCATTTAAAATAGCATAGGCCTACTGTTTGAGGTTATATTCCAGACTTCTTCTTTGGCAGTGCCAGACAACTGTTCAGATACAGGAAATAAAGACTTGTCCTTTTTACACTTAGTTTTTTTTGGAGGACTTAAAGAAACAAGATATAGCATGAAACGTTGGTTGGATAAGAAGAAGTTTAGATGTGTAATGTGTTCATTTTTGGCAGTCATGCTAGCTTTCCCCGCCGGGCCTTTTGCTGAGCTAAGCTAACTGGCAGGCTGGAAGCACTAGAGGGCAGTCAAAGTAGCTGCTTCAGGCAGATATAAAGCAAAACTAGCATTTCATGAGTCATTTGCTGTGTTTCTGATGTATATGAGTACTTCACTCTCTTTTTGTTATATGTTGGTCTCTTTGACATCTTCAGAAAAGTAACTTGCTCATTAGTGGCTAAATGTTCCAGCTAATGCTAATTGTAATTGGTAGCTAAACGTTTAGATGGTAAATTGCTAAATTTGAGCTTTTTTGTGTGGTTTAAAACAATTAATGCAGCTGGAGATTGGGTTGATAAGAGTGGGATACTAGAGTATTAAATGTAGTGTACAAAATAGGCTTTAATGAAAATGTTGGTAACTGCAGCATGCTGAAAGGCCCTAATGTTCAGTGGGTCAGCACCTTAACAGTTCACATTGTCACGAGTACACTATGCTAATTAATATAAAATACTGATTAGGGGAGTGTTCAATATTATATTATTTGTATTATCAATATTACTTGATATCCTCCATCACCCTCCTCCTTATCATAAGCTACATCTTGCACCCCTCGGTGGGCACGCCTGCGCCTCCTATGCTTTACCCATTATTCCCCTTGGAGCTTTTTTTCCAGTCCATATTAACGCGGAAGTCGGTGACGCACCACTACACTCAGCTGCTCAGCGGGGGCAACGCAATAAACAAAACGTCGTCATTCGGAGTCAAACACAGCGGTGAGTGTCTTCTTTTCTCTGTTAGTTGGAATAGGAACATTTTTGTCCAATGCTATGCGTCCGTCCACACTGAGGCTCCTCTGTGTCCGCTGCGCCTCTCGCTTTATTAAATCCGACCGGAGGTGGCTGACGGTCTGTCGGTCGGGCGGATTGACGGACGAGCGTCTGGACTGTACTGGGATTTGAATGCGTGAGAATTTGCTTTTTTTAAATTGACAACTGTGAAAGCCGAGGGTTGGTTCCTAGTGACTGTCAACGTAACCTGTTTGTGATAAAGGTATGGACATGGAGTTTAATGTCAGCGACTGGTGCACTCTGCAGCAAAAATCTGCAACGCGGTTTGTGTCAGCCCTGCTGCTCTTTATTTCATCGGGTTTGTCCATTCAGCATGTGTTTGTGATTGTGAATCAAGAGAAGACGCAATGTGTCCGAGCAAGCCTTTGTTAGTCTTCCCCAAGCCTTTGCGACGCTCAGTTTGGCGTGCCTTAAGATGGGACACGAGTTCATTAAAAATATAAATGATTGCATTCAGACACGATTAAGCAATATTGTAACGAGTAGCTGTTCCCAACATTGCTACCTTAAATGCTGTAAACTTGAATTCTCTAGCCTGTAAAATGGGGGTGACCATGCCATCGCTGTGGGTTTGTCTCTTTTGAGTTTACCACCCTGGATCAATATGTATTGGGATGTTAACGCTTGAATTAACATGGTGGCCCACAGCAGTTGCCTTTTCTCAAAGATCATTTTCAGTAGACTTGAGGTCTGAGGCACATTGCTGTCGGATGTTGCCTTTATTATGAACCATAACAACATCAAGCTGATAGCCATAGCTGCATTGCTTCCACAGGCTGCAGCTGTTGAAACATATAAACAGTCATTCTAGTTTTATATAATCAACAATTCCACCCTCTGATTAAACTCTAAAATGTTGTTTTGCCTGATGAATGTGAGGTGTACTGCCCTCAGTGAATTGTTACAGTGGCTCTCAGATTACACTCAGTCTTCTCATTGGCTGCAGGATCAGCTTTCCTCCTTTTCTTCCACCTTCCACTCCAGTCCTGCTGTGTGCCATGATGCCTGCAGTATAGTCTGTGTGTGTGTATTGCAATTGCAGCTTGTTTAAACCTTTTTAAAGCAAATCATACACACTTGTATAGCTTTCTGTGCTTGCTACAACTATGTGGTGGCCTGCTGTGTTGTTTATGTTTTCAGTGGGAGGGCAAACCTTTCACTCAGCTTCATTCCAAGGTAACAAGAGTTGGCGTCATGTCAAATACAGCCTTTTAAGGCACAATTTTTATCATGATGCAACCCGGCAGCCTGTGGTGTTCAGCTACTGTCAGTGTTAGAAGAACAACCAGCTGTGTGTGTTACATCACTGTAGCCTTTGGTTATGTCTATGGTAGTGTTGTGAAAAACTGAGGGCTTGTTGCGATAAGAAGCCTCATTGTCCCATGGAGTGTGCGTGCATGCATAAACTTACAGATAACACAATGCATATTGTCTCTGTTGAGCTGCTGTGTAACTAACTCCTCCTCACATGGGATTACTGCATATGGAATGGTTTCATTTCCACACAAACACTTGAAGTTTCTGAAACTGAGTGTTCAAACGATAGCGACGGACGCCAGTGGCCTTTTTGTAGGCATGCAGTGATTTAGAATGGGAGTTCTTATCTTGGTTTCATCCTTGAGTTGAACAAAGATATGTCTTGACTTTGAAAAAAAGCAACTGGGGACACTTTTCATCTTCATTAGCAGAAAAAAAATGCAAAGCCAAATGAAAAGTCAGCCTTTTTTATTCATGAGCGGCTTGAACTTGTCAAAGTTGTCATTGAGTGCAGTTATTTTGTGTTTTTTGTTGAATTATAGCATTGATATCACATTTTAGTGAGGACAAACCACCTTTTAATAACCATACCAAGTGACTTGTGAATGTGCTGTATTCAGGTAATCTTTTTCTCACAGTTGGGAACACTTCCTTGCCAAGGAGGTTATGGTTTTGCTTCCGTTGGTTTGTTTGTCAGCCGGATTATGGATAAACTGCTGGCCCAAATATAATGAATCTTGGTGAAAGGTTGGAAGGAGGAACCCTTTACATTTAGGAGTGGATCGTAATCACAGGCGGATACACCATTTATTTCTCACTTTCGCTAACACTGCGTGATGGGTTCATGGCCTTGCTGGAGGTCTCTTCTTTCTGTGTGCCCTTCTAGTCTGCAGTATAAAGTCATTTCCTATGACGGCATCTTACATTTCCGACTGTCCTCTCCTCTCCCTCTGGTTTGCTCTTCCTGGCATGGTCTTCCCATCATGACCAGCTGACTTGGTGTGCTCTGACAGTGCAGGATCATGCAGGTATCGGGAAGCTTTCTGCCTTGATGAGAAATCTCACCTACTCCCGAGCTGCCAGAGCTGTCAACAGACTCTAAAGTTGCCTGTCGCCCTGTCAGGACCGACTGCAGGGAGAAATGAGGACGTAAAACCATGATTATGATTCCAAACTGGAGAAAGAGGGAGGCTGAGACTGCAGCTGCTAACACTGGGAGCCTGCAGTCGTAACGGACTGGGCCATTGTGTGCTTGCAAATTAACTCATGCTTTGTGTCTTCAGAGATAGGTTCTGAATAAAGTAATTGGAGGGTGGAAAGAATGCAATCAAAAGTATCTGAAGTCTTTGATAGCTTTCTGCCAATTAAATGCCATAATTGTTTGACACAATTGGCTGTGATGGTGAAATGTGCCGCCCACAGAATTTTACATTTTGGAACAGCTGATGTGTTTGACAGGCCATTTTGTGATATTCTATAGAGGTTTCAATCAAATTCAATTTAACAATGGCCAAAACACATTTCAACTTGCAGAAGAGTTTCAGAAAGAAGTTTCGCCTTATTCACATCTTTATTTAGTTTGTCCTAAACGCCTGTCCTTAGTAATCACATACAGCATGTTTCAAACGGCAAAGAGCTGAAAATGAAATACTTTAAATTGTGTTGTCAACTCATTTTTCAAGCCTAACCTAGATTAGCTAAAGCTTATGGTAATAAAACTCATGAACATTTCTGTTATTTCGGCTAATATGTCAGTGCAACTAATTATGGTCAACTAATGCCAGACACCAGTGACAAAAATGGCCTTCTCAGTTTCCCAAAGCCAAAGTTAATGTTTACAAATGTGTTGTTTTTGCCGACCAAAACCCAAAGATATTAAAGGTCCCATGTCATGGCCATTTCTACTGATCATAATTCCATTGTTGTGGTCTACTAGAATAGATTTACATTGTGCAATTTTCTAAACTCACATTGGTTTCTCACAGCATCTCTGTAAAGTATGTGTATTCACCGGTATTCACTCTCTGTCCTAAACGGCTTGTTGGAGCTCCTGCCCCCCCCCTCCCTGTGAGCCCACTGTGCTCTGATTGTTCGGGACGTTGCGAGGCTCGCTGCTCACTGAGCTGGCTTACTGGTTTGGTTTCCGGGTTGGCGATACAGCGGGACAGCGCAAAACTCATCCTGAGCACACACAAACACTCACAGCCGAAGTAAAAACAATAAGTGTGGCTTGATATTGAGTAAGATTTATTATTTTAAAGGTTTATAACTCTGTGAGAATGGGTCTGCGGAGAGCATTTCTCCGCGATCCCAACTCGTCTATAACAACCAGGGAGCTCTATGCAAGTCAATGGGACTCCCTGTTAGTTGAAAATGTACGCTAAAGGTCCTCACCCCTCCTGGTGTGTGAGGAGCTCCGTGGATTGGTCCATTTTGGTTCCCGGAAGAAACAAATGGAAAAAGATAAATCTCCAACGAGGCGTTCTGGGGCAGCATAGACAGGTATTTTCTGTGTTAGAGTTTTACTCGCTACAGGGTGTACTTTGAGGGTTTTTGACTCTGCAGACCGTTTACATGCATAAAAACCTTCATAACACACAAGGGGACGGGTAATAACCAGAAAAGCATGACATGGGAGCTTTAAGTGTACAAAAAGGCAGAGAACCGATTGATTTCATGTCTTTGTTTCAGCTCTACCTTTTTTAATCTAAAACATACATCTTATCAACAACAAAATCCACACACACACACACACACACACACACACACACACACACACACACACACACACACTCACCAACCACTTTATCATCTTTCCCGTGCAAGTATCGTTAACCACACCACTTTTAATTTGCGCTCTACCCAACCAACAGCAATCTTCTTTACTCTTAATATTGTTTTCCATTTTTAATGTCAACCTGTTTTTAAAATGGCACTTGCAGAGGACGTTCTCTGACTCACACTGATTCTCTACGTCACCTACTTACCCCCGTCCCCCCGCTGTGGGGCTTAATCTGTAACATAATATTGATTTACATTCTGCAAAGAGACAGGAAATGGATCCAGCCAACAAAAAAAAAACAATCTTCATACATATCCTGTTCCCTTTTACTGTGTAAATGATCCAGGATGTGAGTTTTCCTGGACTCTAGTGACTTTAAGGAACTTGTGATATTGTCATTTATTACCTCCAGTTTAGCAGGCTTTACTTTCTGAATAAAAATAATAAAAGTATATTAACAAAATCACCATATGGCAATTGCAATTGTTCCACAGTATGGTACCAAGGTTTCCATTGCCTCGTAGACTCTGTGCTGCTGTCCCATACTGCTTCTGTTATCTGATCCTTCTCCGGTATAATCATATGAACACGTCCCCTGCTAGTCGTGTTGTATCAGCGTCTGGCTGGGCTGTAATATAATAGCATAATAAAGGTATGATACTGTGTCATTCCTCTTTGCCTCCTGTGCGCTAACTCAATCCTCTCCTGCCCTGCTGCTGTGCCCCACTGTGGCTGCTCTTCGTCTTTAGGAATAGAGTATTGATCCAATCTAATGGCTTCCTCCTATGGGTGATGTCATGCACCCCCCATGACTCAAACCTCACTGGAGTAATGCTAATAGAGGGAGTTAGAAACCGTGCTTATAGGAAAACAGAGCAGTGTTTAT